ATAAAAGATTATCTGCATATCATTATCTATTATTTTTGTAAGTTATATTTAGTTTAGTGTTTAAATTTTGAAGCTAAATACTGAAGAAAATTTAAATTTTTTTAAATACACAAAATCAATATAGGGTTGTGTTATTACACTCATCTAAAAAGAGATTAGTGTCAAAATTCACAAATTTTGCCTCAAAGAGCACCCTAATTGTAAAAAATTAATAATAAAAATAGATGGAGCCTAACCAAAATCTCAAAAAAGGTCAATAGATTGTGAATCATATATAGCATCCCTAAACCCTCAATTTAAGAAAAAATTTCTGGTACCACATAATTTTTCCTCCAAAACACTATAAATTCCATCAAATTTTCATCCTAGCTACTAGGGATGTCAACGGAGCCCCGCAGGGCCAGGGAGTCCCTCCTTATCCCCGTTCTCGCGAATGGTAGGGACGGGGATCCCCGCGGGGATTTTTGACGGGGGTAGATTTTGTCCTCCGTCCTCATTTCCTGCGGGGATCGGTATTTCCCACCAATTAATATTAAATTATAAGTTTTTTTGTTTTTTACATCTAATTAATTAATATTCAATTATAATAAATAAAACTCTAAAATTTCAAATACAATTAACTAAAATTTTTAACTATAAAATCAAATATAAATTGTCTAAATATAAATAAAAATCAATTCAACATAAATAACTAAACCAACAATTAACAAATTTTTTTCAAACATAAACAAAGATTAATTGAAACTAAACTAAAATATAAACAAAAATTAAACCAATAATGGAGGGGAAGGTGAAAATGAAAATTGAGAAATGAATTAGGGTTAAGGTTAAATGTAAGTAGGGGAATGAATTGGGTTAATTTTTATGGATTGGGTTGGGTTGGGTTGGGTTAGGTAAAATTGGGTTAAATTTAATTTTGATTGAATTGAGTTTGGGTTTGTGTTTGGATTTGGATTTGGGTTTGGATTTGGATTAGAGTTTGAAAGATAAATTAAATTTAAAATAAAATTAATTTATATTTATTTTAATTTTTGCGGAGATAGGGATTCTCGTGAGACCCCACGGGATGAGGAAAATTCTTTGTGAAATTTCTCAAGGGGAAAATGCTCCCTATCTCCGCCTCACGGGGAGGAATATTCCTCTCCCGTTCCCATGACAGAGATCCCCGCAGAGCCTCGCGAGGATTGGGGAAAATTTGTCATCGCTACTAGCTACCACAATACAATCACTTCAAAAATCTAAAACTTTTTCATGGCGCTTGTGTCCTCAAAAACCCTTGTTATGTGGATGCTTGTGGTATACATTGCAGTGCTAGTTCTACCACCTGCATTTGCAAAATAAGCGAGAGAAACACTGTCTGCAGTGAAGCCGGACGAACGTTTTCGAATGCATAGTGTCTTTCGAGAGCGTGGGAGGATGCATCGATGCGATAAAGAAGGTGATTTTCCGATAATAATTTTGCAAGTTTGGGGAAAGAATGCTGCCAGGCTGTGACTGGCCTTGGTGACAATTGTTGTTGGCCTATGCTTTTTCCGAATGAGCCTCTTGTTCCCGCTCTGCTTAAGGCCATATGTGCTTTTGTAGGAGGAAAGGAGGTTGGAAAGGCAAGATGAACATTTTTATGGGGACGATTTTGATCTTTAAACTTAAATAAATTAGGGGAATGATTTTTGTACAATTATTTTATTTTATTTTTTTTGTATAACCTGACATGATTGATTTTTTAAATTCATGTGAGATCTATGATATTGAATAAATCTATTCATTTAATAACATATGAAAGTTGTATAAAAAAATAGAATAAAAAGTTGTTATATTTTGGATCTATCTCCAACTGAGTTAGTTTAAGAATTTCAGGCTGGAGTTTGGCTCAATAAAAAATTAAAAATTGGACGGAGAACAATGTCAACTTGTAATGATAAGATGAAGAGCTCAATTAACACAAAAAAAATTTATTATCAGGGTTCAATTTCTCTTCATGAACAAAGTTTGAGGGCTTACATTGCGTTTCTCAATAAATTTCTAATTTCAAGACCGCAGCAAATTATCGCACAGAACAACAGATGTCATTTAGAACGATCACGGAAAGGTAAAATGCGCCACGAGAGTCGGTTTCTTAGAACCTTTGGAAACCAAAAATATTTCTCAAACTCCAACGTCAATCAAAACCATTATCCCCAATTCAACTCCCATCGATCGCGGTTAGGCACGGAATTTCTTACACCGCTCCGGCGAGCTTCCATCGGCGGTTCTCTTCTGTGCGGTTGGCTTCGCTTCTCTGAATAAGAATTACTTGCTTCCTTCATCGATTTCATCGTGAAGAAGAATCTGTCTTCTTTTCTGCTTTGGGTGAGTATCGATTTGGTTCATTTTAGCCTTTCTTGAGAAAGAATGGTGGCGAAACGTTGATGCATGTGGTTAGGTTGATAATTGTTGGTTGTATTCCGTTATAATATTTCATGAAATCTGTTTTTTCTTTGCTTATAATTGTAGCAACGCAGCTGCTTGTGTGTATTGTTTGTTGATTTTTTTTCCTTGGTTTGTGTTTTTTATTGACTATGGAATCTAGGTAAGTGATTACAAAATTCATGCTGTTGTGATTCATTCTTGAAATCTGAATTTTCTGCTCGTAATCTTCAAGATCGGATTTAATGTTCTAGTTTTGATTAAGGTATATTTTCTTGAATTTTCTCTACGCGTTTAGGTCTGCAACTGTGCAATGATTCGTGTATTTCTGTGAATTCATTAGATCCGATATCATTCGTTCTCTCTTGCTGGTTGGCTCCGTTTAATTTTGTGATTTTTGAGGGAAGCCATATATTTGGCTTATCAGTTGGGTCGCAGAGAAAATGGAATCAAATTCGAAAGTAAAAGGGAAAAAAAGGGGTTTTTAGACTTGCTGCTGGTGTAGGAAGCGTTGGGAACCAATTTGCTTCAATTTCCTTTTGCCAATGGGATATTTATATCTAGATCCTGTACACTTGTTGAATCATAGTGGATTGAGATTGCTGCTTAAACATGGGTTAGAATCCTTCATGGTTATCTCTCAAGTATATTGAATTACCACTATCATTTTCTTATAACATTTATTGAAAGATCTGATAAGTTAGAGGCTGCAAATTGAAGGATTTAAACATGTTGGAATAGAGCAACTCTGTGGTTTCGATGTTGATATTTGCCAAGTTTTTTTTTTCCTCCAGGCCAGGGCTTTTCACATTGATAAATTTGTTTTGGTTGCCTCTCAGCACATTATTTGTGGAGATTTGGTACATCTGTTATCATGGGTGCTGCATCACATTCGATAGATAACAAGGGGGATCACCTACCAAGAGAAGTAAAAGAGATTCTCCAATCGTTGGCATCTGACTGGGAAGATGTTCTGGACTCAAGAGCTTTGCAAGTTATCCCTCTAAAGGGTGCAATGACCAATGAGGTTTTCCAAATAAAATGGCCAACCAGGACAGAAAAAGTCTCACGAAAGGTTTTAGTTAGGATATATGGTGAAGGAGTGGAGGTATTCTTTGATCGGGATGATGAGATTCGGACCTTTGAGTTCATGTCAAAGCATGGACAAGGACCTCGTCTGCTGGGAAGGTTTCCGAATGGGCGAATTGAAGAGTTTATCCATGCACGGGTATTTTTTAGTTTCATTTTTCTCATTGCCTCCGTATTCTGTCTTGTTTCTCATTTTTTTTCCTTCTATCAGCCACTTTAATTTTTAAGTGGTGAATAAACATGGGAATCACAGGTATCTTATCTCTTTTGACCTTTTTTCTTCTAAAGGAAGAAATACCTGTGTATTTGTCCCCTTCTAAAGGAAGGAAATAATGTGAAAATCAGTTGAAGATT